GCCTACGACTACATGTGCTCGTGGCCGTTTCATTCAAGGGATGTATACCAAATTTGGTGTGTCCTAGCAAGACTGTATGACGAGCATAACTGACACGTCATGGCATGAAAATCATAACATGGATGTCATGAAACAGATTTTTTACATGCCACCATCGCGGTGCTCTTTCGGCCGCTTCGACAGGTCGATATATACCAGTATTAGAACGGCTTCACAAGAGCGTGTGACGAACATAATTGACAGGTCCTAACGTGCAAATAAATCAAGACACAGATGTCATGTACAACATAATTTATGTGACATGGTCTCGGGGAGCTCACGACCCATTGAACCTAATGTATATTTACAACAATCGGTATGTTCAGACACTTATGTACAATGAGCATAAATGACAGGTGGTAACATGAAAATGATGGCATACGTGTCATGTATAGCATGACTTACAGCATAGCGCATGGTACGCTCACGGCTGGCTCAGTTGCTTGATACAAACTGAAACTGGTATTGCGTGTCGTGACTGCAGGACGAATAAAAGTGATAGATGCTTCCATGCCAATCATGAACTACATGTCATGTAAGCAATGACTCACATGCCACTTTCATGGTGTGCCCACGCCCAAATCGCTACCTTCGTTTACACCAAAATTGTGTAAATTGTGTGTCACTGTATCACAGGCATAACTAGCAGGGGTTGCATAATAATCACGACCGACCTACATGTCATGCACGGCATGACTTACATGCCAAGGTCATGGTGCGTTCGCTGCCGGGTAGTTAGGTTGATATACACCAAAAATGGCATTGCGCGACTTGACTGTAGATGAACGTAAATGACAGTTGCTAACATGAAAAAGATGTCGTGCATGTGGTGTATGGCATGATATAGATTATACTGTCCTGGTGCACTTCCAGTGATTTTGTCGCCCCGCCGTGGTGGTCTAGTGGCTAAGGTACTCGGCTGCTGACCCGCAGGGCGCGGGTTCGAATCCCGGGTGCGGCGGCTGCATTTCCGATGGAGGCGGAAATGTTGTAGGCCCGTGTACTCAGATTTGGGTGCACGTTAAAGAACCCCAGGTGGTCTAAATTTCCGGAGCCCTCCACTACGGCGTCTCTCATAATCATATAGTGGTTTTGGGACGTTAAACCCCACATATCAATCAGTGATTTTGTCGGTTGGACATATACCGAAATCCATATGGGATACCACGAGTACGTGATGAACATACATGAGTGTTCACGCATTGTATAAATCAGAATATATGCTTCGATCACTAGCATGGTTTCTACCAGATTGTACATACCAGCATGTGTTCCTGTTTCGCAGGAATATGTGCTACATGGCTTGAAGGAAAGCAAGCTCCGTCAACAGTAGTCGAACCCACGACTTTTCGGTCCATGACAATACAGGCCGCGTGGACTAAACACTGCAACCCGGTTACATAAGCTGGAAGTCTACAAATGCGCCTTTCATAACTATTACTCTTCTTTCACAGTGTTCCCGGTAAACTAAAGTCAAACATTGCTACTCGTTCTCAACTACATCGCATTCTGCTTACAGAAACTGCTTCAGTATGCCAGCATAGTCGCGACGTCAGCAAGCGCAAAGGCTTGTACGTACGGGCACTCTTTTACAACTCCTGAATACGTGAAGCATTATATCAATGCATCGTAGGCTCGAACAAAAATGAATGTGGGTACCACAGCCTGCCGTCGTTCAAATATATGAGTAACGATTGGGGAATAGATAGACTACGTGTGTAGGATGCGAGAATTCGATTCCGCGATTCAACGCAGAAACTGAAGCAAAACAAATTTTGGCTCTTAATCTCTCAAAATAAACACCGCCGCAATTACAGCAACATTTGTTGTGTTGGGCAACAGCACAAAGTCATGCCATTGATAACGCATCATCAAGTACGTACCTGTTAAACATATATTTCGATTCATAGGCTTCTCATGGGACTGGAGGGCTCACGCAAATATTTGGCCACGTCTCATTTCGTAGTCACTATTATTTACCTTAATGCAAATTGCAAAGTGGTGGAGCTGCTATGCTACCTTCGTTTATCTGACGTCCATACATGCGCGCCTATGTAGATTCGCTTCAACGTCGTTCAAAACATAGATGGTCGATTACCATGGATCTTGAAAAAAATACACAAACAAATCTACGGAGCTCTTTTGTCCCTTATAATTGTAGATCCACGCTTTCCTTGTACGCATAAAGCAAGCCCTCGATAACCTAACGCACACCTTGCAGCGCATCCACTATTTTGTCCCAAGAAACGCGCTACGACAGCGAAAATTCTACCGTGCACAGAGGCCAGCTCATACACCTCTCTTATTATTTCTTCCACGATGGTCAGGCACACCTTTCAAGTTCACTAATCCATGGTCATCAATTTTTCAAGCTTTATTGGGAAACTCTCGGCACCTGGCCGACGAACATCCAATGGCGCCCCCGCGTGCACATGTGTGTGTGTGTGTGTGTGTGTGTGTGTGTGTGTGCGCGTGCGTGTGTGTGTGTGTGTGTGTGTGTGTGTGTGTGTGTGTGTGTGTGTGTGTGTGTGTGTGTGTGTGTGTGTGTGTGTGTGTGTGTGTGTGTGTGTGTGTGTGTGTGTGTGTGTGTTGTTGGGGCACAGTGCGCAGTCCGGAAATAAGCAGCCGATTTCCTATAAACATTCTTTTGTGGCCTTCGAAATGCCATATCGTGCGCCTGAAAGCAGCTGTTTTCCATCACAACAAAACAAAACACACATATGCTTTCTACCTCTGATATTGTATGGTTTACTGATGTTGCAATGAGGACTTCAGAACAAACATTTCTTACGTACACTTTGAAATACTTGCACGGCGCATGTTAAACACAAATGCTCCATATTGTCGCATACTCTCAACCTATGTAAGCTATCGTGGTTTGTGTGCTTATTCCGCGAGCTTTGAAACGTTCGCAAGACCCAGCGAACTGCTTTACATATATCATAAGAGCTTTATCGCTAAAGTTTACAACATTTTGAAACGTTGGAATCTCAGCATCAATTCGGCAAACAAGATCGACTCTTCACAAAATTTCCTTGTTTATTTGTTTTAAATCACACACTCAACGTAAATTCAAGGTCGTGAGTAGGTAAGCAGGCTCCAGAGCGACATCGGTTTTTTGAACACATGAATTTATTACAAAAGAACACCTGGACACATAAAAACCAAACACCAGGAACATTACAAATCAAGTATTTCCTCAGCTAAGTGAACAAAATACAAGCAATCATTATTGGAGAAGTGCTAATCACAGACTGTCAGATACTAGATTCACGAAAGTTAAATGACGTTTTTCTTCAGCAATTTATAAAAAAAATTGCTATACATACATACGCAATAAGTGCATAGCATTGTATAAAAAAGCTTAACGTAGGAACCAAAAATGCCCTTACTAAGACATGACACCGCTTGATGCGTACATTGAAAATGCATTCATTACTGAAAATTAAGTTTATCAGTTACTGCGAAAGATGCCCGGTGAATCTGCGATGAATATATGTGGAAAACTAAGCATATTTATATATTTCATCGCAACAAAGGTTACCACTGGGCAAAGCTATATTCGCGAAAAACTAAACTGCCAGCTACAACAAGTATTTTTTTTATTTTTCGTGCTAATATAAATAAGAAAGTAAAGGCGATTTGATAAGGTGTTTTCGAATTCTCTCTCTCTCTCTTTTGACAGTGTCATTGACGCAAAAACTTTTAATGGGTATCTGTGTCATGTTAAAGCATATTTCAATGGAAGTTCATTCATTACGCCAAGTAAAAAAATAAAATCAGCAAAAGTTTTTCATCACCACTTAACACGAAAGGCAGTACGAGCAGATGTGTATGCGCCTGTCTAGATGTTATCGTGTTTGCAGTGTACATTGCAGTGCTGGCTCCAAGAATGTGAACGCATAAGCCAGGTAAGCCTATAGTACGCAATGTCGAATATTATGTGTCAACAAAGGGCACAGTTTAACATTCGAATACGAAGCTTGGAGAGCGATTTGTAGCCCTTAACGCAGGGTGGCACGTGAGAGAGCATAAATGTGCCTTTTCAGACGACCAGCTTTAAACAACAGTATTCAGTAATATGACGTGCTTCATAGAAGCTTTTGATAACACCTTATCGTCCAAACACGCATATCACAGTGAATTAATTAAATTATGTCATTATTTATCGCGACAGTTACCTGACCATTATTTCAGGTTATTTATAGCTCAAGAATATCACACGTGTATGACATAGCTTTTAGCTTGAATCACAACTGTCGTTTGTGTACCAGTTCCCAAGATCTTTTCTGAATGTTTCGAACATTGGAACCAAGTTCCCGATCGTAGGTGAACAGCATCTAGAGCGTCAGCTGGTGCTCTTGCCGCTAATGATTGGTTGAAGAACGGTACAGCCACCGAAAGGGGGTTGTATACGAAAGAAGATGAGGTCGAGCGTTTAGGTACATTAAAAAAGTCCATGCATAAAATGCATCGTTCCTTTGTGTTCTAACTACAACAAGGGCCAAGCGTTCTATCAACACTTCAAACAAGAAGGAAGAGATACAGAAGTTGCAGAATAAATGAAGGGACGCTGAAAAACGATGGTATGAAGTAGGTTGTCAGGTCAGACATACTCAATTAAGTATATATTACGAACCACAGCATGCACCAGTGGGCACATAGAGGAAGACTCAGAAACATTGTACGAAACAAGCGAATTCAAGAACACGCGCGTAGCATAAAATGCAAATGCAAAGTCTTATAGCGATTCTTTCTTTGAAAACCTCGTAAACTTGACTCACCTTTAAAGCAGAACGATTGTCACTTGCATAAATGTGTCTTCACGGATTAAGAAGATTACAGGGCAAATACTTCTTCTTAAGTGTGGAACACCGACGACCTGCTCAAATGACATAACTCTGAGATATTTTGTGTATCGGTCTGTGAAATAGTATTCAGAGGGTGCATTCAAAATTTCAAGTTGTTTCACTTTTTATTAGCTGTGATTGTCACTTTCAGTGCCGCATTTTATCGGAAACTCATATTAGAAGGTTGTGGAACAAGGCAGTGACACAAATATCGATCTCAGTATTCTGCAGTAAGTGACCATCTTCAGGCGAACCGAGCTGCTGCTAATAACGAGCATAAAACGTTTAAATATCCCCTCGTTACCACAGTTGCGACTTCTCTAAGCATTTATAAATGTCAGAGACACCTCTGTCGTTCACCAATGTTTGAAGAACTAGTTTACGTCCTATTGTATTACTACCAGCATATGGCTGACATAAATTCTGTATTTACCTCTTAGATTTACCATATGGTTTTATGTTTAGTGGTGCCATCTGTTGGTGCACAGATCCTAGCAGCTGCGATGTGGTCAATCACTGGTGATTAGAGGTGTATTGCGTTTTCGTAAAAAGTGGAATATCTATAACATGGGTACAACTGGGAAACGGAAAGATTTGTACGAGACTTACGCTGCGCGCTTCAAGATATAATTTTTCAGCTTTTCTTGGTAGATCTACTTCGGTCTACATAATTTCGCAGAAGACTAATTTACACTATTTAGCTTCCAACTGCGTTTCAATAGTTTGGTTTCTGTGCAAAAAGATTCGGTGCAATGTGTCGCTTTGTCGACTTTCTTCATGCATCCTCGAAGATGTTGAGGCACCTTTTCCGAAATTTCTGTGCTTATTGACTCTACGAAACAATACACAACACAAAAACGCTTCTTTCGTAAGCATCCTGCAAGATATAGTACGCGAGCACCACCAACTATCTTTAGAGAAGTGAATAGATATTGAACTCCACATGCAGAGTTTCTATACGAGTTTCTAGAGAGCTCATTAGGCGTTCCTGTGATAGATTATCTTCATTACGCTCCTAAAAACCTTGTAGAGGACGTGTATACAAAGCGATAGCTGTAACAAAGGAAACTGCCAATATTTCTCGAACAGTGTACACGATGCTATCTCAATGCAGTAAAGGACTCCGAAATCGGCGCGCGAATCAGCTCGTTGGTGTGTCACGTGGTACAGCACGGAGAATAATTGGTCCATCGGTGACTTGAAGGAGTTGCCGTGGCTTGAACTTCAGTGGTTGCTGTCAAAAAAATAAACAGAGAAAAGAATATGCAGTGTCAACTGCATGTAAACTAGCAAGCGCCGAACAGTGATTCGCCTGTCGTTCAGTGACGAATTCAAAAAGCGTGTGTTGAGGGGATAGTTGGAAAGACATTATTAACAAACAACGTCTGTTACAATCTACTGGTTGTTACGATCTACTGGTCCATATGGTGGTTTTGGGACGTTAAACCCCACATATCAATCAATCATACAATCTACTGGTATTGTTTGCATATGAAGATTGTTACTCGTAGTTTAGTGAAGGACGACTGCATCTACTAACTAAAATCTTTTCGCGTTTGCAATGTAATCACCACACCTAGTCGAATATTGATTGATTGAATGATATATGGGGTTTAACGTCCCGAAGCCACAATATCATTATGAGAGACGTCGTAGTGGAGGGCTCCGCAAATTTTGACCACCTGGGGTTTCTTTAACGTGCGCCCAAATCTGAGCACACAGGCCTATTGCACAGGGGCCCATCGAAAACGCAGCCGCAGAAGCCGAAATTCGATCCCGTGACCAGCAGGTCAGCAGCCGAGTACCTTATTTATTCACTAGACCGCCACGGTGGGCCACACCTATTCAAATAACAGCAACATCTGCTACAATAATTGACCACGCATTGAGAAATTTCGATAAAAATATTAGTGCTGAAGTGTATGACAAACGTATCACAGATCAGTTCCCCATATCTGTCTCTGTTGATCACCTCAAGATAAAAAAAAACGTGGTGGGCTGAAGCTTGTAACCAAAATAGACTACGGGTCTTAAAAAATTATTGCCCTCGAAACTAGTTTTGATTATATGTAAAGTTATGACGTTAATATTTAATTTTACAACTATACTTCCTTTCTGAAAAACTCCACCAAAATAAGCAGTAGAAAAATTTCGGTTCGTTCACTGGAAGCACCATTATGTCTCTGGATGGATAAAGATCAATCGGTGGTCATATGAAGCAAAGATCACTCGCACGGCAAATGGAAACGGCATAAACACAACGAAGTAATGCGTAATAACTCAGTAGCTTTGATGAGAATGAGTAAAATGAATTATTATGCTCGACAAAAAGAGCGGACAAATGTTAATTAAAGAAACGTTGGAGTATTGTAAATGACGTTGTCGGCCACCCTCCACCTTTTGAGATACTTCCTGATGGCATCGAGTCCAATACAGTTAAGTCATTCAACAGTTACTTCGCCTCCATTGGTTCAACGCCAGCCAAACATTTTAAGCAACCAAACCTCGATCATGTTCTTTCAGATTCTATTCCGAACTTTTTTTTCGTCATGTATGACATCGGCCTTGAGGAAATCGGATCTATTGTTTCGGGAATGCCAATGAATAAATCAGCAAGCCTGTCAGTACTGTAATGTTTCTAAAAATATATATACTTCCTCGAACCAGTTTTGTGTAGCCTTTTTAATCATTCTGTGGGAGCTTCCATTTAACTTTCTCGTTTAAAAACTGCAAATGCGTTGTCAATACTTAAAATTCGCGATCATTCGCAAACAACAAACTATAGGTCAATTTCTGTTTTGAGCATAACTAAAATATCTCTGAAAGGACTCTTGCCAATTGTTTCTATACGTTTATTGTGAAATATAACATCCTCTCTTACTTGAAACACGGATTTATATTAAACAATTATACGTCCAACGCTATTTGACCCTTACGCAATTTATAAACGCAGCATTGAATGAAAGTATGTTACAGCAGTTATTTTTCTGGACCTAAAAAAGGCATTTGACGCCTTAAACCACAGAATACTGCTAAATAAATTAACACATTATAGTTTCCATAGAACCATTTTAGAAATTCTTTCGGACTGCCAGACAGGTCACCAACAGGCTGTATCAATTATTGTTTTATTGTCTTCTATGAGTCTCTTGAATATTGGTGTTCCCATGATTCAATGTTGCGACCATTGCTGTTCTCCTTGTATAAAAATGATCTTCCGTGCTTATTACAGTCTTCTATTAAACCAATATACGCTTACAATACTTGTATCTTGGTAACAGGTCAAAATTTAGATGATCTCGAGTCGAAGTCCAAGATCAAATTAGTTGAAGTTGCTCATTGGTTATCAAATAGTAAACTAAAGTTACTAATAAGAACACGTGTATTACAGTTCACTCTAGGTTAAAACTCATTAGCGCTAGTATTATACACAATAAAATTAACAATTCTGGGTTCGAGCAAGTTACCATAAATAAATATCTTGGTGTCACTATAGATAAGAACTTGCATTGGGAGATGCAGATTCAGAATGTCTGTTACAAGTTAGCCTCTGGCTGTCATGCACTTTCTAAGGCTCGTCCACATTTTAATAGCACTACTCTACAAATACTTAATTCTGCTCTCATTCATTGTCATATCTTATATGGCATTGAGTCTTAGGCGGCACGTACCAAGGTACCAGTTAAACGACTTCAAAAACGGATTGTAAGAATTATTACTCATTCTAAGTAAAATGACCCCAGTAAACCTCTGTTTTCCTGATTACTCATTTTGCCAATCGATAAGCCACTGAAATTAAAACTAGCGAAACATATATACATGCTTAATAATTAACCACCTTTTTGATGTATTCATGTTCTTCGCCCCATCTCGTTCTACCAGACAACTAACCTTTGAGAAACGAAATATTCCATGAACTAACAATGTATATGGTGAAGGGATTAAACCGTTCACTGGTATTAAGTTCTGGAATGCTATACTTTTTGAAATAAAAATGTGTTCAAACTTCACTAAGACAGCAGCAAAACACCATTTAGAAGAATGTTCTGATTTATTAATGACAGCTCATGTTTAATGTGATGGCTGTCCTAACTTCGATTTGTAAGAAAAGCGGTCGTTTTTTTTTTTTCGCGCTGTAACAGTTTTCTTTTTTTGCTCTTTGTATGATTATTTCATGTACTGTATTTCGTCTTTTGAGATTGTTTATTGGATATTATATAACTTCTTAAGTTAGGATTTTTGAACTACCCTTACAAAATGTATTTTTATGAACTCAAACTAACCAATAGGTACGGCTCTACACAGTGTGTGCGAAATTTATGAAGCAATCATGAGCAATAAAATTACAACGTTAATTCTAATAATAAGTAAACTTGAACTGCGCGAGGTCTGACCTTTTTCAGCGACGTTCTAGTTCACGGGCAAGCACACCCTGGTATTCCAACCCTGCAGCCTGCTAAAGCTTTAGAGCGAGAAAGAAAACCTTCATTTGTAAATCCCCAGTGAGCGACTATCTATACCGATTCCGGCGTGGTGGTCGGGGCTTTCGCCTTGGGTATCGTAGCTGAATAAGCGGCAGCAATTCTAAAAGAGAAGCCAGTTGCCGAATCTGTCCAACATATTACTTGGATCCCAGCCTACATGGAAGACGACGTGCTGCCGGGCTGCGTGAATACCAATGAGATTTTTCATCGCCGTGCACGAGAACTCCTGCACCGCGTTGAAGGTGGGACTCTTAGGGGTACAGAGACAATTCGGAGACGCAGCTACCCTCTTTACGCTTTATGAAATTATGGCTCAATATACAAAGAAGCGGGGAACTTTTTCACCTCCCCATCTGACACTGAGTAGAGCACAATCTTGTACGCTCAAGATGCATCAAACATGTTCGTTTTCATCGAGGGATTTCCTTAGTAGAAACACACAGAAAGAGATCTTCGTTGCCCAGATGGCGAAGAAAATGCCTGTACCTTAGGCCACATCTTCTGGCAATGCCCTGTGTTACAGGGCTTAACAACAGTGAGGACTGAGAAAAGGCCGTCATCATGACCTCCAAACTGGAAGACCAGTCCAAGGCAGTCCAGAGGGCCTGTGAGAGAGCCAAGAGGCATGGCCTCCCAGTTCGCACATGAGATTAGCCGATAGCAAGCCAGGTATCTTCTGTAGGACTGCACTGGCTACCTCTCTGAGACATCAAGTTCCTGTGCTGCCTGCCCGCCTTCCTTCCTTCCTTCCTTCCTTCCTTCCTTCCTTCCTTCCTTCCTTCCTTCCTGTCTGTCTGTCTGTCTGTCTGTCTGTCTGTCTGTCTGTCTGTCTGTCTGTCTGTCTGTCTGTCTGTCTGTCTGTCTGTCTGTCTGTCTGTCTGTCTGTCTGTTTCGCCCCCTTGATAAACAGGGCTATGCTATAGGTGGCGGTACTTTACGTTGCTATGCCTGCCTAATGTCATATACAATTATGTTGTCCTCTATAGTAACATTTTCTAATCGTTCTAGCGTCTACCGCTAATTCCAACTCCCCTTAATTCAAACAATTTCATAGATTCCATAGAGTTCGAAATTGACAAGCTTTTACTGACAAGGCTTTACTCATTGTAGCTCTCAGATTATACTTAGCCAACCCAAGCTGATTGGTTCTTTTACCTAGGTTTACTTTTATTTGTAGCAAAATCCCATACTCACCATAGTTTCAGAGCAGGCTTCCAGCCTGACGCGCCGAAGCAGGCAGGCAAGGGTGGTTTTGACCTGCAGCATGCCGAGTCGCATTCCCACGCAGTTGCGTGGTCCATTGCCGAAAGGCATGAACGTGAAAGGCTTCACGCTGTCCTTGTTCTCCGACAGAAACCTGTAAACAGACAGCAGGTGTAGTAGATGGACATGTAATTATCCTGGTATACATGCAAATCGTGACAGAGAGAGCGAACAAATTTAACAAAATCGCGCGCAGAGCAGATTACGCAAAGCTGTCAAAGTTGCAATCTGGGCTTCGGTCACATGAAGCCAAGTTTCTCACAAAATTACCTAGAGGGAAGTCTGCCGCTAGTGAGCTGCTGGATGGAAGAGATGGCTGGGATATGTGAGATTGGTACCTCATTCGTCGTATTCACCAAAACCTCGCCCGACACCAGCCAACAAAAGCCTCGCAGACACATACACTGACATTACCAGCGCTCCAACGAAGCCCCATAGAGAGAGGGAAACGAGAAAAAAAAAGGAAGGCAGGGAGGTTAACCAGATGCTAGTATCCGGCATGCTACCCTACACTGGGGTTGGCAAATAGGGGGTTGAAAGAGAAAGGCAGAGTTAAAAATAAATAAGAGAAAAACACCGACACACACGCATACACAAAATCAGTCCACTGAGAGGCGTTCCGACAGGACAGTAGTTCGTAATAAGCCCAGTAGCGCTTGCACGGCTTTCTTCTGTGACGATGAGTCATGACGATGGCGCAGTGTACTTTCTTCTGACAGCGGCTGGTCATCTAACCTGTTTAGTTTATTAGAAAGGTGTTGTCTTTCTATGTTGTATTTCGGGCAGTCACACAGGATATGTCGAATTGTTTCTTCATCTCCGCAGTGTGAACAGTCGGCGGTGTCGGCCATACCTATGCGGAACGCGTACGCACGGGTAAACGCGACTCCCAACCATAGTCTGCAGAGAGCAGTAGCGTCGCCTCGTCGAATTTTTGTTGGAAGCTGTATGCTTAACGTTGGATCAAGGGATCATAATCTTGCATGCGTAAAGAGTGGCTCATTCCAAAGAGCCATGAAGCGTTGGCGAGCAAGCCTGCGGAGCCTCCTAGCAGCGTCCGTCCTTGAGAGAGGTATTGACTGGTTGTTGTCTTATGTGTGGGCTGAACGGGCAGCTTGATCAGCTCGTTCGTTACCGATAATTCCGCAGTGGCTTGGCAACCACTGAAATATAATGTGGTGCCCTTTCTCTGTTATATGGTGTAGCATTTCTGCTGTGTCAAATACCAACTGCTCGTGTGGACCACGGCGTAGACTTGACAGAAGTGACTGCAGTGCCGCCTTGCAGTCGCAGAAAATCGTCCACCGTTGCGTGCTTTGGTCGTTAATGAAACGCAGCGCAGCGCGAAGCGCTGCAAGCTCAGCTGCCGTTGTTGTGGTTGCATGAGCTATCCTGCATTTGATGGTTGTGGCGTGCGTTGGAATAACGACCGCCGCAGTTGAGCTGTTTGGCAGGACGGAGCCGTCGGTGTAGACGTGGGTGCAGTATTGGTACTTCTCGTACAGCAGAAGTAAGGCGAGCTGCTTGAGGGCTGGTATTGAAAAATCTCGTTTTTTTTTGGATGCCTGTTATTGTCAGGTTCATGACTGGGTGTTTGAGGCACCATGGAGGAATTGAAGGTCTCGCCACGGGCGTAAAACCAGTTGGTAGGGACTCACCATGTGTAAATATTGTTCGACAAAAGGAAGTATGAGGTCTTCCGCTGGTAGAGAGGCTAGATGGTGATGGGGAGTCCGGCCCACATGCCTTATGTGTGTCCTCAAGGCTTCAATTTCAATATGGGTCTGCACGAGGTGGTCTTTGGCTATAGCTATAGTCGCCATTGTTGAGGCACCCTGAGGCAGACCTAGACATATTCGAAGGGCCTGTGCCTGAACGCTTCGTATCATGCGTCGACTTGTTTTGCTGGCGTTTGATAATGCAGCCAGATTGTATCGTAAAAAGCCAAGGAAAAGCACCCTGTACAGTCGTAACATAGCATTAGGCTGCATTCCCCAAGTCTTTTCAGCGAGAAACTTGAAAAGATGGCATATGCCTGTCAATCGCTTTTTCAAATACGACACATGAGGGCTCCATGATATGTCTCTGTCGACTATGACACCCAGAAATTTGTGCGATCGACGATATGGTATATTTTGACCGTTATTGACACTCTGTAATACGACATGGGTTTGGCGTAAATGCCAGAAGAGCGCACTTTCCGGAGAAAACTTCCAGGCCTCGATTGCGTAGATACAAAGCAGTTGCAGTAGCAGCTCTCTGTATTCTCGCTCGTAACTGCAGGCATGTTACCGCAGATGTCCAGATGCAGATGTCATCCGCGTATGTTGATAGACAAATATTGTTTGGTAGGTGCGTATGGAGAGCGATTAGTGTTATATTGAATAGCACGGGGCTCAGTACACCACCCTGAGGGACGCCACGACGACCGAATTGTGTAGACGTGTTCCCGGTCTCTGTACTCACAAAATAGGATCGCATTTGGAGATAACTGCGTATCCACTTAAACATTAGGCCACCCACTCCAATGCCTTCTAGTGCCGTAAGGACGGCTTCATGTGTAACGTTATCATAGGCTCCTTTGACGTCAAGGAACATAGAGGCGCAAATACGCTTATTGCCTTTCTCGTGTTCAACGTACGTGATTACGTCGATGACGCTATCGATCGATGATCGACCACGTCGAAAGCCAGCCATGGCATTTGGGTAGATCTCATGATACTCCAAGTACCACTCGAGTCGGCCGAGAATCATTCTCTCCATCACTTTACCCACGCAACTAGCCAATGCGATCGGGCGATAGGAGGAGGGTGCCAATGGTGATTTGCCAGGTTTTAGCAATGGTACCAGACGACTAGTTTTCCAACTTAAGGGGACAGTGCCATCTAGCCAACAATCATTATATAGCTGAAGTAGAGCTATTCTCGCGCGCTCACCCAAATGACACAGGGCTCTGTAGGAGATTCCGTTAGGTCCTGGTGCGGAGGTACGTTTGCACGAAGCGAGTGCTGCCTTGAGCTCCTGAATGGTGAACGGGAAGTCCATACAGGAATCACGTGGTGGCGGACAACTGCTCGAAAGTGGTGAGCTTCTGATGGCTGTAGCTTGCCCTGATAATCCGGCACAGAACTCTTCAACAACGTCCACATCTGGTCGATTTTGGTGAAGGGCTAAGGCATTGAATGGTGACTTCTGAATGGGCGATGACCGCAAACCTCTAACCGTCCTCTATATCTGCGATAAAGGCTTACGAAGGTCGAGTGACTCGCAGAAAGTAATCCAGCGTTGGAATTCTAGCTTGTCCAACCGACGTTTGATCTTCTTCTGCATACGTCTGGCAGTCCGTAAATCTTCTATGTCCTTCGTGCGCTGGTACCTTCTTTCAGCTCGTCGTCGCAAGGCTCGAATCCGCTCCAGCTCTATGTCGATGTCCATGATTCTTACAGGGCATAGAATCATACACACAGTCTCTTTTACAGTGCTCTTGATGGCGTCTTGTAAATCGGATGTGTGTTCTTGGCATTGGTCTTCCATACGAGACTGCAATTATTTCCAGTCCACTCTTTTAACCATGTCACGCACTTTAGTAGGTGACAATCCTCTGATCTTGACGTATGTTGGAATGTGATCATTCCCATGCATTTCTATATCCGTGAAGCATTCAGTATGTTTCACTAGGCTTCGCCAAACAAAAGCGAAGTCGAGACAGCTACTGTATGTGGAGCCACGTAAAAATGTAGGACTGCCATCGTTCAGTAACCAAAGTTTGTTGTCGGAGGCAAAAGACACCAAGTTTCTGCCCTTCATGTTGGTATTCTGACTTCCCCATAATGTATGATGAGCGTTAAAATCGCCAATGATAATACACGGGTCAGGAGTTAACGCTATGATGTCTCGTAGTCTTTTTTGATCGAAATGGCTTGACGGTGATAGGTATGCGCCAACCACAGTGATGTTGAGCCTCGTCCTTTTCACTCTTAAGCATACGTATTGGTTTCCATCATGAGGTGGTACAGGTTGAAGGATGTAAGTGAGGTCTCGGCGAATGTACACCAGAACCTTGCTGCTTTCAGCCCCGTAAATTTGCATAGACGGGGGCACAAGATTTCCCTCTAGGTATTTTTGTGAGGAACTCTATGCGTGAAGCAGAATCAATTTTCTATTGTAAAATGATCATGAATAGAGGTACAGAAACAAACAGCGAGGCCGGTTTGCAGCAAATCTCGTTGATCTATGATGCTAGAAAGATCCAGAAGCGCAGACTAAGTATAAAGGAAAGCAATGGTAATTTGTCAAATGTATTAACGCGATAGCGTTAAAGAGCTCGCTTTGCAGACATTCTGGTGTAGGTGGCGCTGTCCTTGGATTTGAGACGGAAATAATCCTCTTCTGCGTACAATGCAACATGAAATATTGCAGTAATAAAGCGTGGTACCAGCGAACATCCCAATTGTGCGTCAGAACATGTGATTTTCATAATGAGTTGATGGCTTAAAGCCAGTCACTTACTACTAAATGCACACGCGTCCCTGTGCCTATACTCTTAAAAAGGCCCTGAAAGACCTTTTTGAGTAACCATGGAATTAATTCACTGGCAAAGCGTATTGACTCACAAATTCAACGCCAAAAAAAGTTTTAAGAATGTGTCCAGTACGAACGGGGTTACAAAGATTTGTCACACGCTGCAATCGCATTATCTCTTCTCTCGTATCGACGAAAGCACTGGAAGCTAAACAGGGAGAGATGGGAGGGACAGACAAAAAACGTCACGCGCACTTCATCACCTTAAGCACTGTTTTTATTTTTTTATTCGAATACGCGGCTTTTTTAGTGCGATCGCGCGCGCGCGTAGACAAGTGACTGCCTCTTGCGGTGATCTCTGTAAGAACCGAGCGCGCCATGTTCAAATTAGCCAATGGGTGATAGATGGTTAATCGACGTGTGATTTTTTAGCATTTTTCGTGATTTGTCCGGCGAACAGAAAGCAATATTTAACTGACTTTGGTCATTTACTGTGAACTACAGACCGCGTGCTGTGCTATAACGTTTGGCTCGCGTGTTATCGGTCGGCAGCTTTACTACCGGTCGGCAGCGTTTTCTGACCATGCTCAAAAAAGTGCGGCAGGGCCCCTTTAAGGCCATGTACGTAGTGGATGCGTAGCAAGTTCGAAAGCATAACATTCACTAAGTGTTTAAAGTACGCACTAAGGACACGATATCGCTATCGCGTTCAACTCTTGAAAGCGAAACTTAAGGATACCACAGTTTCGTTGCATTCAACCCAGACCCATGTGCGGTGATTACCCATCGACTAAAACATACAGTTGCAGCTGCACACAATTCCGGCTACCGTACGTACCGAGAGCCTTGGATCATGGCAAGTAAAGCCTGCGCAAGTGGGAAGACACTCCTTTCGTAAGTTCACCGGCAAACGATGCATTACGCGGACATTCCCTATAACGGCTTGCGATTGCTGCAACCGACCTCGCAGTTCCGTGGCAGCACTAAAAATACTGCCCGTACAGACACTCATAGCGTAATATTGAAGCCTTTATAAGTGCGATACACGCCAGCGATTGCTAATGATGTTTCAGGTATTGTAAGGTTCAATCTTTGTGAAGTCAGTGGTAGCGTTAGTTGTGAATAGTTTCCCGTGTGACGCGGTAGCACCTGCGTGAGATTTCGCAATGCAGGCAAGTACCTTTCTGGATTGAACTTTTCCGGCTCAGGAAAATATTCGGGGTCGAGATGAATGGCCGCCGAAGGAACGTGCACGCACATGCCCGGCTTGAAGTCGATGCCAGCTACCGTGGTTTCCTCGGTGCACTGGCGGAAGATCCTGTAGAGCAGATAATTGGTGCGAGAACAAAAAATAGAAATTAACTGTTGGGTTTCTATGTGCCGAAATTGCGATATCATGATCGTCGCACGCCATAGTGGAAGACTGCAAATTATTTTTTTTGACCACCTGGGATTGTTTCCCATATACCTAAAGCTAAATGCAGGAGTTCTATTGAACATATCATTGGCTAATAGATATCTACAGAAAAATATGATACCCTAAGAGGGAGTCAATGTCGCAATAAAAAAATTAAGTTTTTTTTTTGTTTCATTTCATAATTGCTTCCTTACTGAAATATAGAAGCTACGGTCAACTGGGACAAAGTTTGCCTAATACATAGAAGCAGGAAATAATTATTTGTCTTACGATACTTTCGACCGTCGTAGCAATGTTATGGAACATCACAATCAAATTAAAACAGGTACTTGTTTATCTAAAGATAAAATTTATTGAGAGTTTCTGCCCGTGTTGCAAGGTCTTAGTTTGCGGTGTTCGTAAAGTGGCCGTAGTTATTTCTAGGTTGTTTTTTTTTTACTCCTGCGTTTTTTTTTCCTAGTCATGAGCAAAGCTTGCAACGTTGGTGGGCAATATAAGGTGAGGCAATTGTTATTGAGACAGTGTATCCCATTGATGTGGATTGGCACGCAATCCGAAACATTAATAACTGAATCTATTGACCAATGCTGGGGTGCGCGCTCAAAGGTTTAGCCTGCTGGTATAGACATACAATAAAGCGCATGGTGCAGCTACAATTCTCACATTGATTCCGATGCGCTGAGGCGCAGCGCTTCCTTGATGCATGCCTCGAGGCAGGGTAGTTCTTGTAGAGACTCGTAGGTGAATTCACCCTGAAATATGCAATAAGTAATATTCATTTCAACGATGAAAAGAAGAGCAATTTGAATAAACGCAAAATAAGGTGTAGTGGCAGTACTGCAAAGGTAGAACTGTTTTATGCAATAACGCCCATTGTCAATAAGTTACACAGACCTCAAGATTGTTTCGATGCAGGTTTGCTACAATCAAGCTGATACTCATTACATAAAAAAATCATATATTGAGCAAAAGGATGCAGGGGCGTGTCCTGAAATTTTCCGGAGAAACAGGGGGAGGGGGGGAGGGGGGTAGGGGGGCGTTTAATGAACTTTTTTCTGAAGAATCTTTGCATAGCATCTTGACCGACTTTAGTACGCGCTGTTTTGAACTATATACAGGTACCTCCTTGCTCGCATTGGAAAGGAATAGAGAAACTTTAGTTTTGTCCAGCAGGACGTGCTTAGCGCGTAGCGGGTGTCTTCCACGTAGGGAGCGACAGGGAGTACCTGGTGGCCACTTCATGCGCCTGCTGGACGGCCCATTGCTGGTCAGCGAGAAGTAAGCTTCTGAGGGTCCCTCCCACTTGTTTGAGGTGGAGTCACATTCAATGCACAAAACTGAAAATTATTGGGAGGTGAGGGGGGTAGGTAGGTTCCAATACATTCTTCCCCACATGGCTTCGCCACTCAAAATATGGGATCTGTTCATAGCAATTAAGCTTGGTGAAACCTCATACTTCAGCGCAGTCGCTATATGCAACGCTCACGCTTGGTTAGGAGGAGGTTATCGCAAGACTTTTAAACATACTTGTCATCGCGTGCTTCCTCCTCGTCCGTACAGCCTTTTAGTAGATTCTATTGATGCTTTTAATCTATAGTTAGTTTAAGTTACGTTCTAGTACTTTGCCGAAGAATGAGAGCAATCTGCGTAAACGGTGGCACCCTGCTCTTTACCTTGGGACCAGCTGCTTTGTCTACTTCAGTGAGGACGCTCGTCTGGTATTCCGGGTGAAGAGCCAAGTAGTAGGCAGTCAGGATGAGAGTCGTCGACACACTCTCCACTCCAGCGAGGAAAAACACTATTCCCTGGGCAGTTATCTCTTCCAGTGTCATCCCTGCAAGTGGGTCGATAAGCCAGTTTGTAAAACTTGAAATAAGCGCATCAGTGCAGTGCCGCACGTGGCGCAGATACTACGCAACTCCTAATCCTCAACTACGATAAAAAATATTCCTTGCATACAGCTTGTACACTTTACATTCATTACGATAGTAAGGAAGCGCACACTGAAGGCTCACTCTTACCGCCGTCATCATGTTCAGCGCACAATGTGAATTATTGATACAGGTTCTATTGTGGCTAATGTCAGTTACCCCACTCTTATATAAGTTTTGGACCTGTTCATGGTATGCAAGAGAACGCCAGTAACTGATCTCTTCGATTGGACTATATATTAGAAGACTATGTGGATATAGGAGCCCTCGTAGCATTGTTACAAGCCGCTGGGCTTGACGCACGTCTTTAGAATTGCCCCAGTGCAGCATATCTCCCTACCCTACATTAGACATTCATCACTATTTCGCTCATATGTCACCCAAACTGTAGCTCAGCAACCTGAAGCACAAGCCGACCTCTCTGACTTTTTGTAAATAAGCTTTCTCTATCTCCCTCAAATAGTTAACATCTTCCCGCGAATAGCACGTGCTGTGAGCGAGGGAAAGGGTTTGGGGTCAGCCAGTAGTCGCAGTGGAAACAGAGATGGAATGAGACAGCCTTCTCTGTGACGAGACGGCACATAGTGGGTGGACAGAGAAGGGAAGGGCGCTATCACGCCTTCTTGATTTGCGAACTTTCATCGCATGGGGAAGGTCAGTCGCGAGCTATTTCCGCAAAAATAAGCACATATTTCATACCTTAACACTTACTGTGCTCTCATTGGTTGCTTTGCGTCGAAGCTAGACTCCGCGAAGGTTGGTTTGTTCGCAGCAGCGACTTCATTCTCTTGCGCCAGTGTTCTGTAGGAATACGTAAGCTTGATAAATGTTGCGGAAAATTGCGCTTCCCTACTTCAACCAGGGGGACAGTCATGGAGCTATGCAGCATGATTGTCCGCCACATATATCAAGCTTCTACCAACTAGCCGAAAAGAATGATTTATTGAGATACGTCAGATTAGATAATGGAGGAGTTATTTCCGAGCCTTACTACGTATAACATACCATTTTTGTCGCTGTCGAGTTCATTGTATTGCAGCTCAAGCGGTTCAAGCAGCCCAGCGATTCAAGCACGTCCCCTTGGCTCGCTCAACTATTGAAACCACCGCAGGCTACTAAAAAATTGTCCCGAATATACATGTTACACTGTAAATGTCGTCGAAATACGATAGTCTTCCGTCTGGAGAGAGTGAACAAAACGTTTATTTGATGTTCTGCGCAAGAAAATCGGTGAATGGTATTGTGCAGGCGCTGCGTTAGAGTGCCTCGAGCGTGTGGCGGTGGCGAACGAGCGCATCGCGGCACGTTAGACACAAGCGCCATCTGGCAGTTATCTTCGAAAACGAAGGCGTGCATCCCGCGGAGAAAGATGCGCGCCAGTCTCGGAGGTGATAAGGTGTAGAACGCAAAGCGACGGGCAGGTGCCACCACCGTGACGTCGTAGCAAAGCGTTGGAAACACCTTTTTGAGCATCGCATTGCACTGTCAGCGCAGAGCGATTAAACGCTACATTCCTTAGATTTACTTGTGTGTACCTTTCCTAGTATAAAGGCAGACATATAAAACATCGAAGCGTTGTTGTGGCGCCTCACAATCGCACAACGATGAACGCTTAACCTTGAGCAATATTGGTGGGCGCTGTGAATGGGGTTGGCCGTTTGATGCCGTTTGAGGTATTGTTAAGGCGGAGAAACAGAGAATTGTACGGACGGACGGACAAACAGACAGTCAGACAGACAGACAAAAAGGTGCCCAAGAAAGACTATCGTCTTTAAAAAAGAGCGTCAGAGCGCGTCGTTTTTAGACGTCCTCGCCTCCCTACTTTCACTGGATGCACTCGGTGCCACCAGTGAAAGGAGTCTCCGAGCGTAAGAGCGAGCAAGACGCTGGCTTTTTCGCGTAGTTTCTCTCGATTAAAGAGTGTAATGCGGTTAGCGTACTCGGCATATGAGGGGACTTGTACGTCGACCTTGTACGAGACGCCAAGGCGACGGTGACGTCGTCCCCAATCTTCCCTTGGAATGTCCCTATAATTGCTATGGTAATAAATCTTTTGAAATCTTGATAGTTATAACTAATAGCCTACGCCTAGCAATGTCGCTGGCTAGTGGCTGCTTCTTCCGCCTAATCCGTATTCATTTTTCAAATGCAGAGGTCTCACCTTTCTTTTCCCCTTCTTCCTTCTTTCCGTCCGCGCTGACCTCCCACTCAAAGTCGGCATCCATAAACACCTGAAGGAAGTCGTCTTCTTTCTGCCAGACGAAAAATGTCATGGTGACAGAAAGAAAAACGACAAAAAGTTATCAATAAACACTGGTGAAATGTTGTTGCAATCATGATTCAGCTATAACATACAGCATATAGCCAGAAACAATGAAACCACAGACGCGCCGGCTGGTACATGCACGAAAAAGTGGTTTTTGATCAATTAATTTCAAGCCAGCTTCAAACCAGTGTTTTGCCGAATACGTACACGTATCTTGTGTACGACCACATGGTTTAACTTAAATTACATCGATCAAGTTCCATTGCAATCTGTTGGTTGCAGCTTGTTGCATGGAATATGTATATAATCAGACTTAGCCAGCGTCCTCATTAAAATGGTGAATATAAAAAAACCGGGGACATGCAGAAACCGTCATTCTAAGGGCTGGTGCACACCGGCGACTAGCCGCGGTCGCGCGACCATTTGTGACTGGTCGCAAGCAGTCGCGAACGGTCGCAAACGGTCGCAAAGCGACTGCTTTGGCCAGTCGCTAATTTGCTTGAGTACAAATGCAGTACTAAAGTGCTCTTATCAGGAGGTTCAGGGGAGGCTCTTTGCGGTAGCTCAAAACGATAAAACATTAAAAATCACGATGAACTATAACATTGTTAGAATTTTAAAGGATTATGGTTGGTCTACTCATAGGCAGGCTGACAACCCATGCATTCGCCAGAACAAGTCATACCTCTGATAATTTTGGGTTAATTCACACCCTGACGTGAACTTCAGTCCACTGTCCCTTCTTGTGGTGTAGATTATAGGCTCAAAAACCTTCAAACCACCATCCGCCCTGCATTTGCTCAAAGAAGATACCGATTGTGAACTCATCATGCAGCCTACTCACTCTGTTGTTTGCCTTCCGCTCTTCCATCAGGTGCGAAACGAATACTTTGAATAGATCAGTGCTCGACTTTGGAGGCCAGTCTGGCTGCAGCTTCTTGTACAGGTCAGGCATGAAGACTGCGCAATAAGTCCGGATGAAAGGCAGCAGAGAGTTACATAGACAATAATAGATAGACCGATATATAGCAACACGCCTGAAATTCGTAATGAAGTCATGCAAACACGAGCGTTCATTTCATATTTGTTGTCTGTTGACCGTATTGCGCAGCGTGTGGTAGATGATGTCCAGGCTAAAGGAGGAGTGCATTCTGTGCTCCTCTTTCAGCCGAGACAGTACATTCCCTTCCTTTTGTGGGAGACTCCTCCTCCCCGGCCACAGAACGCACTTTGCACTATCGGCGACCTCTGTGTCTTCTATCTTCGGAAGTGTGATTGGTCGCATCTCACCCAAGCTGGAGGCACCACTGCCACCATCAAACCTTGCTGCACTCCGAGTACCGGCCTTAGCGTGAGAACTACATCCCAGGACCGGAGTGCAAAAGCCATGCGAGGTGAGATAGGCAGTTGACGTTCCCTCGACGTGTGCTTCCATTCTTCCAACTTGGATATTGTTGTTTTCCCCCATTAGTACGCAGTGCTTCACCGCTCAGGGGCATTTTTGGTTGTGGTGCTGTAACGGTTGCAACTGATGCACTTGTATCTGAAGTGTATAGACACCTTCAGTTTAAAGGCTCGCTTTGTCCCCACTGGCCTGAAACCTGTTGCGGTCGTGACTCTAGATGTACCGCTGAATAGGGTATCACAGTTCTGGATGTTAAGGCTGTTGCGTATATAGTATTAGCGAGGGTGATTACCACTTCAGTTCCGCGTGGAACAATTCCAAAAGAGGCGACCTTGCACGCGCTGGATTCTACTGTGTTCACGTTTCAAGTAAGAACCTCTATGTTTACGGGACCAGAACTGCTGTACTGATCCACGCCATATAGGAGAGGGCTCCGGAAGTTTTGACTATCTGAGCTTTCTAAAAAATGCACCTAAATGAAAATACATGAGCCTATAACATTTCGTCTCCATCGAAATGTTCGCACCGTTGCCTGCCTGAAAGAGACAACACAAATTTTGTTGCCACTCTGTCTTCTATACTACCAAGATTAACATGCACCAGTAGACTTCGTACGTCTCTCACACCACGTGATCAGACAAGCACTGTTCATTAGAATAGGAGTGATGTTCCACCTAACTTACGCATCAATAATATATTCCAACCAGCGGTGTCGCTTAATAAGGCTGACAGGCACTTCAACAGCGGGTGGTCCTTGTCGTTTTCACTGTCAATGTCGACGCTGTAATTTAGAGCAGCCGTGGTGTCCAGTGATGTGTGTTCCATAAGCCTGCGTGAGACAAAGGGTGTTTTTTTTTCGGCTTCTGCTACGCGTATCTAAAGCGCGACCACTTACACTTCACATACATCGCTTACTGAGTTTTTGTTTCTACAACATTATTTTGAAAATCACGGTACAAATTCTTCTAGGTAGTTACGCTGAAAAAATGCTGATTGTACGAAACAAGTTGCTGTTTATGATTATTCAGAAATAACAGGCTTAAACGTATACGTAAAGAGATGCCCATGGTTATTTTTAAACACAAGAGTTAGTAATTCTCAAAATACAACTATGTGGTTCATGAAGCGTGTTTCTGGTAATTGCTAGGACCACTTTCTAATCATTAGCAACGCATTTTGACTGTGCTAAACAATTTTGACCACAACTGTGGAAACAAATTTCTAGTATGGAAAAGCCTATTATTCCTAGTCTTTCGTTAAGATGGTGTAAAACTCTTTTTATTTGAATTTGCAGAAGGCAAATTATTGCCTTGAATATGCATGCTACGTTGAATCTAGCAACGTACAATGCATATGATGCCCTTTACATTTAAACCTACACTGTACATGTAGCTTACCAAGACCTATTTTTGTTGACAAGACGTGTTGCCACTATTTCTTGACGCTTTTAAGGGTCAATGTGTTAGATTTTTTTTTCTCTGCAGACAATTTATACAGCTTCCTTTGAGATAACGCTTAGTAGCAGGCCATAAAATTGATTCGGGCCAAGCCCTCAGTATTTCCGCCGCAATAAACTTTGCTCCCTCTTCGCCTGGGAAAATATACTGGTACATCCAATCATGGTGAGTGACAACAGTTTACGACAACTCCCTCAATATTAAGCGTCTGTCGGCTGATCAAGATAAGAGCGTCAGGCTACTCAACTAACCATGCCTCTCGTGTCTTTAAAACTCACTTGGACACGTTGACGGGCTTATCTTGCGCAGCCGCCTCCGCAACTCGGGAGGCCGTCCTTTCAGCGACGGCATTAATCTTCATCGCAATCTGAAAGAGAGGAGACATGGACACTTTGGAGCGCATTTAGCTCACCAAACTCGCCAACTCCTTGTTTAATTATATTTACGCGTATTTATTTCAGCTCAGTTTATGTGTACTGCACCACAGATAAAATGCATCTCAGAAGTTGTGGGCACGCTGCTTGAATAGACAAGGGTTAGTTATTTGGAATAAATAGAAGAGACGCTTTTCATGCTAAACACATTGATTAAATGGAAGTAGTAAATATTAACCGTCCGTCGACGAGTACAATGTGTGGTAGCGGCTTCCCGTAACCCTCTGGTCGTATAGTATGAAGATGCTGATGAACAAAATATGGTGGAGGAAATGAGGGGGGAACCGCTTGTTCAGACATCGTAAATTAACTGCAAAAATAAGGCACCGTTTATTGCAGCAGTGGCTCTGCGGCACTGCGTGTCACGGGTCCCGTTAGTTAGGGAGGCGACCGCCGGGTTAATTCCAAGGGCCGAAGTGTCGGCCCCACAAACCGCACCACGAAAGCGTGGACAATTTGGAAGTGGTCCTATTTGGCGCGCCAGCGGACGCCGGCTGTGGCCCAAAGAACAATTCAGAGCCGAGAGTTGATAAACAAAACAAAATTATATTCTCAATTATGGCAGATCAAAACGATACACAAGTATGCACACTCGACAATAGTTGAATACAATATGTCACCGTTCAAACAACGTACTACGCAGTACAATCAGCCACTCTCGAAACAACGAATACAGACAACAACACGCACTACAATGCAGTCGCATGCATTGAACAACCAAGACACTTAAAGACTAAAGAGTTAGAAAACTTATTCAGTCCAAAGTTCTTGGAACAAAAGTCTGGATGATACTCTTCCGAGAATCACTCACTCAAAGTCCAGCGTTGCTGTCGTTCCGCTGCCCCCGAAGTTTCTCTTCCAGGAAACCTCGCGTCTTCACTTGGCCACTCTCCAAGCTTCAAACTTCTTCGCCGGAAACACGTCGGCTTCACACACGCAGCTGTTGCCACACGTCTTCGCTCGATAGCGGTAGACACACACTCTTGCCTGTAGCTCGAGTCTTCACCCCTCAGGTGGAAATCCTCTTCTTCTCCTCCTTTGTCACGGAAGACAAAAGGCTTCGCCCACAAGGCGGAACACCCTACGCACTCTGGCGCATATTTTCTTCTTCTCCTGCTTTGTCACTAAGGACAAAACCTTCGCCGACAGACGCGGCGGGATACCCTGCGCACTCTGGCGCAAACTTCCTTCTTCTCCTGATCTCCCATCTCGGCTGCTCAATTAAATACCTTCCGCGCGAGATTCCAGAAAGTTCTCATCATTTCGTCGGCGCGATACGCAGCGAAGGCTGGAGAAAGGGCGAGACGGTACGAGGGCCGTCCGCGAAAGATGACGCAACCCTGCATCACCACGCCCCTTTCCATCGAGAACTTTCTAGGGCTTGCTCGGCCGCCGATGCGAAGAGGTTTCGTCGGCGAACCTACGCTTACGAGGGAGAGAGACGCGCTCCCGGGGAGTCTTTGGATGTTTGTTTTCTTTTTTTTATCGTTGACCTCGCGGCGTGTCTCGGGCGCTCCGTCGCGCGAATTTGGCGGCGCGCCCTTTTTGAGCGCTCGTTTTGTGACACTGCCCCCCACTTTAAGAATATTATCTCATAATATTCAAAACCACACAAACGAGCGCGAACAGTCACCACACACTCTCAAAGACTGTAACACAATCCGTCACTCATGACACTTCACATTCACAATAGATCACTCAATACAATTGTGCATTGCAATTCAATCTCACAACACATAGAATATAGCCACAGGTACATGAATACAATACTCCATCACATATTCCAAACAATACAAATATACAAAGTTCTCTCGTTACCACAACTGTACATTACTATACATCACATCACCGCAACAAACATTTTGATTCGCTCGACATACAGTTGTGACACAGGATAACAAAACACAACACATTGAGGCTCAACACAGCCAAACGCATTCCGATTTGACCTCAGCACCTAACCTGAGTACTTCGAGCTGCACTTGCGCCCTTTCTTGCGGTGCTCTCTCGATCTCTTTTTATTGTTCTTGTTTCTATTCCGATGAGCCCTTTCCAACGACGGTATCTGAGGCAGCGTCTCAGCCATCGTTGTCCCTTTCGACACCGTTAACGGGTCATAACGTTCAACCGATCCTGTCACCCGCTTGTTCATGTTACGACATTGGGCCTGCCTGGCCGACTCCGTCACCTTTACACTGTCGGTTGGTTGAGGTCGTGCCGACGTAAGTCCAGCTGCCCAACACGTGAACTCGTTCAACACGATCATCTTCTCATTCACTGTTTCTTGCACCGCGGCTTCACCTTGGGCTCGAGTGAGATCCGTCACGGGATGCTCCTCCACTGTATCTCGTGGTTGCAGGGTTGGCAAGGGCTCTACCTTAGGGTCTCCTCCCAATTGTTCTGGATCATTCGGCCCTCGCGCCCCGTCGATGATACCGATGACGAGGTCGTACAGGGGGGTCGTCATGCATAGAGCAGTAACCTTACCGCTGAAGTATGGGGTTTCGACCTCGATTTCTGCTTCGGGAAGCTTCCGAACCGTACTATCAATTAGGCAAACTGGTTTCGTTTTGCCTGTTAACTCACTTTCTCGTACCAAATTTCTCCGCACGATAACCGTGGAGCTACCGGTGTCTCTTAATACCGTAATCTTCTTGCCCGCAACTTTTCCAGGCAGCGTTGGCATTCCCTTCGTAACACCGGTTGGCTGTTTTGTCATTACAGCACCCACAATAGGAAGTTTCTCCCCATTTTTCAACTCTACAAATCCGTCGGTGACGGCATCACCATCGGATTTCGGTGCTGCCAGCACACAGGATACCTGGTGAGCTTGACTCACTCCGTTACGACAAGCGTTCTTTGTGCCCAGTCTGACCACATTTGAAACATTTTACTACCGTAGGGCTCGTAAAGTTAGTACGACAGTTGTTCGCGCGATGACCCACTCGGTTACACAGAAAACATCGCGGAACACTCTCCGGTGCACGCTTCTTTTGTTCTGGTGCCGATTTCTTTGAATCTTCGGGACACTCTTTCTTGACTTTGGCTAAATTTGTGCCACCTTGCGCTTCCAAGAATTGATCAACTAATTCAAGCATGTCTTCTAGTGACTCAGCCTTCCTCTCTTTCAAGTACAGCGACAGGCTTGGGTGGCAACTAGTAAGAAATTGCTCTCTAATTAGGAGCTCTCTAAGCTCATTGTCCTCCTGCGCTGTCCCTGAAAGTTCAATCCATCTGTCGAAATAATGGCTAAGTCGGGCGGCGTACTGCGTAGCCGTCTCACCATCAGCTGGCTTTCCTGTCCGAAACCTGTCCCGGAATCCTTCCACAATAAATCTAAATCGCTTCAGCAAAGCACGTTTAACATTTGCATAGTTGGCTGCATCGGTCGGCGTCAGCCTGCCGTACACACTGAGCGCTTCACCACTCAAGCAAGTACTCAAAACAGTTGCCCATTGATGTTCCGGCCAATTCTGGCTCCTTGCAATCGTCTCAAATCTGTGAAGGTACGCGTCAAGGTCGTCCTTCCTTTCATCAAACGCTACGAGCAGCTTGCTTGGGTTCAAGCGGAAGCCATGATCTTCCCGTTCGCTGCTTTCAACTCTAGCTTGGACCGGAGTTTCACTTCGCTCTGCAAACGGAGCCGCTCGAGTTCCATCTCGTGCTACCGCTGCCGTTCCCTTTCAGCCATCTCCGCTTCTCTTTCTTCTTTCGCCCTCTCAGCTGCCAGTCTTTCTCTCTCCAGCTGCAACTTCAATTGTTGCTCTCTTTCTTCCTTCATCTGTCGCTCCTTTGCCTCTCTTTCTTCTCTCGCCATTTCGGCTGCCAACTTTTCTCTCTCCAGCTCCAACTTCAATTGCTGCTCTCTTTCTTCTTTCAGCTGTCGCTCCTTTGCCTCTCTTTCTTCTCTTGCCCTTTCGGCTGCCAACTTTTCTCTCTCCAGCCCCAACTTCAATTGCTGCTCTCTTTCTTCTTTCAGCTGTCGCTCCTTTGCCTCTCTTTCTTCTTTCGCCATCTCAGCGGCCAGCCTTTCTCTCTCCAACTCAGCTTCTTTTTCCGCTTTGGCTCTTTCGACCGCCAACCTTTCTTTTTCCAGCTCAGCTGCCTTTTCTTCTTTGGCCCTCTCTTTTTCTTCTTTTTCCTTCTGGGTGACCCACTTCCGTAGTTCGGCGCCAGAAAGACCCAACTTCTCACCAAGAGCGACTAACTTTTCGAGATCCATTTGTCTCGCAAATGAAACCTTGCCGCGTGCAAAAAAATATCTGCCGAAATCAATATATTGGAACACTCTCTTGCACTCGTTAACGAGAACACTGAACAACACACAAAATTGTTCCGATAGCACTATCAAACACTCGAGGCTCTTTCTCACTACTTTGGACACACTGTGCACCAAAAGGTCCTGTCGCGGACGCCAGATTAATTGTCACGGGTCCCGTTAGTTAGGGAGGCAATCGCCGGGCTAATTCCAAGGGCCGAAGTGTTGGCCCCCGAACCGCACCACGAAAGCGTGGACAATTTGGAAGTGGTCCTATTTGGCGCGCCAGCGGACGCCGGCTGTGGCCCAAAGAACAAGTCAGAGCCGAGAGTTGATAAACAAAACAAAATTATATTCTCAATTATAGCAGATCAAAACGATACACAAGTATGCACACTCGACAATATTTGAATACAATATGTCACCATTCAAACAACGTACTATGCAGTACAATCAGCCACTCTCAAAACAACGGATACAGACAACAACACGCACTACAATGCAGTCGCATGCATCGAACAACCAAGACACTTAAAGACTAAAGAGTTAGAAAACTTATTCAGTCCAAAGTTCTTGGAACAAAAGTCTGGATGATACTCTTCCGAGAATCACTCACTCAAAGTCCAGCGTTGTTGTCGTTCCGCTGCCCCCGAAGTTTCTCTTCCAGGAAACCTCGCGTCTTCACTTGGCCACTCTCCAAGCTTCAAACTTCTTCGCCGGAAACACGTCGGCTTCACACACGCAGCTGTTGTCACGCGTCTTCACTCGATAGCAGTAGACACACACTCTTGCCTGTAGCTCGAGTCTTCACCCCTCAGGTGGAAATCCTCTTCTTCTCCTCCTTTGTCACGGAAGACAAAAGGCTTCGGCCACAAGGCGGAACACCATACGGACTCTGGCGCATACTCTCTTCTTCTCCTGCTTTGTCACTAAGGGCAAAACCTTCGCCGACAGACGCGGCGGGATACCCTACGCACTCTGGCGCAAACTTCCTTCTTCTCCTGATCTCCCATCTCGGCTGCTCAATTAAATACCTTCCGCGCGAGATTCCAGAAAGTTCTCATCATTTCGTCGGCGCGATACGCAGCGAAGGCTGGAGAAAGGGTGAGACGGTACGAGGGCCGTACGCGAAAGATGACGCAACCCTGCATCACCACGCCCCTTTCCATCGAGAACTTTCTAGGGCTTGCTCGGCCGCCGATGCGAGGAGGTTTCGTCGGCGAGCCTACGCTTCCGAGGGAGAGAGACGCGCGCCCGGGGAGTCTTTGGATGTTTGTTTTCTTTTTTTTATCGTTGACCTCGCGGCGTCACTCGGGCGCTTCGTCGCGTGAATTTGGCCGCGCGCCCTTTTTGAGCGCTCGTTTTGTGACACTGCGCACGTTATATAAGCGTTCAAGATGTCCGTATCATCTGTCTATTCACGTAAACATTATAGTACAGCAAGAATGACATTAGGCGAAAGGCAAGGGTATAGGCCTACCGTCTTTAGCCTCGTAGAGGTCAGCGCCGGTGTGAAGACGTTTCGGGCTTTCTTCCACTGGTCGCCGGACATGTTCATGATAGACTTGCGCCAGACTTCACTGCTGACGCGCTGAGCCTCCTGTGCAAGATCAAGAGAACGACACGACAGTTATAATTCAATACACGAACCTTGCAAGCACAGTTCTTAGTTGAAATTTCGCTATACTATTTGTGCACGTGAGCTAACACAGGTTCATGTGAAAACGTGGGATGTTGAACCTTGGATGTTTCGAATGGCTTTGAGGGATTAGTATCTGCCGGCATGGTCCAGTGACCTAAGACATCGTTTCGCGGCCGCCGGTGAAACAGCGAAGCTAGTAGCATTCCTTTGGTCATGGTAACACACTTCTATGTTTTGCAAGCCTATAAGATATAACACATCGCTGCTCTTTAATAAACGTTTTTTCTTAAGCTTTCAGGTCGTAATAAAGTTATAGTATATCCTGAGCATACCATGCTCGCTCCAGTTTAGTGAAGCCTTCGCTTACTATGCTCCTATATGTTGTGTCGCTGCTCTTTAATAAACTCTGTCTGTTAAGCTTTGAGGGATAGTATAGCTACCTCAATTTATTCAACAAAGTATCACGTGACAGCCAGGAGGACATAACCTATATATATTTCCCTGTTTAGGTTCCTTACGAGTCAACAAATAAAGATTATGATCAGTTGCGCCAGCTTACCGTTCGGTCCGAAAAGTCCTTGAACTTGGACACCATGATCTCGCGTAGAACATCTGGATCGGAAACCACGAGCGTTGGCCTGGTACCTTGATAAGAGCTGCGGAGAAAGAGGTGTCCCCGTAAATCTCCTCATTACGCCAACGTTACACTTACGACAGTTTTTTTTTTTTTTTGTCCATTAATGGACTCACTTTTATGGATAGAAACGCGAGCTCTTTAAACAAAAAGGGTTGAAAACTAAATTGTAATCACTTTAAAGAAAATACAAAGAACAAGAAGGGAGACAAAATGTGGTCACAGCAGTGAGATACAGAAATGAACACTCACCCATACATCCGTCCATATCGCTTGTAGTCGCTGATTATCACACTGCTCAGGGGCTGAAATGATCAAATGGCTTGTCGTATGATCGCAATTTTCATTAGACTGTGCAGGCAGAAAACAATTTTTACATATAAATTTTCTACAAATATCAGTGACAATAAATTTTGAAATTTATTTCATTTTTCAACATTACAAAACATGCCTGAGCTGAAGCGTACATATCTGTACCGGAACAACTTTCTCAGTCAGCACGACTTGCTTGTGAAGTGGTCAATTCATTAGATAAAAAAAAGTAGGTATGGCGCGATAAAGACGCTGACGAAGTGAAGAAAGTGACGAATAAAGGGAGCGCACTTGTAACACTTTATTCACGGATGCTGCCGAGCAAGATAATCTCATTAAAGATTGGATGAACTAACCAATCATAATGAGCTACTTCACCTACGGTGTGTTCGTTCATCCATGTTGTTAAATCTGTAATAGGATTACCCTCTTTGGCAGCATATATAGCTTCCGTAAAAAATGTACAAATTTGGTGCCCGTGTTCCTCATTTTGTGTCTTCACTTCTTCCGGGGCCATCCTTTTTGCACCATACCTATTTTTCTGGGGGAATTCCTCAGGCAGGTATTTATCTCTGCTAAGGCAGCCACTTTGTGTTTCCATTCGTCATTTCACACCTATACTTCGGATTTTTGAGCTGCTCTGCGCGTATACCAGTAATGCCAGAGGGCTAAACGTATTTGTTTCATGTGATTCATTTCTAATAAGGGGACAGCGATTATTTTACTATCATTGTGATCATAAGCCATTCCTCTTCTTACTGAAGCAGAATATATTCCTCTCCGCCGTCTTCTCCGATAAGGACTAATTCTCAGCAGGTGGAGAGTTTTAGCACCCGATTTAAGTTCGTAATTATGTTCTAGATATATGTTTATAAGTGACATTTTTAAGTGGAAGATATCACTACCTTTGCTAATGATACATCTAGTTTCATTGTCAAATCAAATTTTAATTCCACTCGTACAGTCTTACAGATGGACCCAACAGAAAAAAAAAAGAAGCTGCCAAGAGGCGGCTTGACTAGTCCGTAGCCCAAAGGGATCTGTAGCTTGTGGGTAACATAAAAAAATAAAAAAACAAAAAAACCGTTCACAAACGAAACATTATTCGCTGTAGAACATTCTGGGCTTTTCAACTTCAAAATGCTTTTTTTTCATATGGTCCATGAACCATGCGTTCAGCGCACTCCATTAACACTAAAAAAAAAGGGGGGGGGCGAGGTTTGCAATGAATCGCCGAAGACTTGTAATTGCAGCACCGGGCGGCTCTGACGTCTAAACCGGCTATAGTTGTTTTTAAGTGGCGCTAGGCTTTAGATAGGTAATGCTAGCTTATCTCTAGGTTCCCTCTCATTGCATAGAAGTTCTAGTCAAACCACAGGCAGTCATAAACACAACACCAATGTCCGAACTCCAGCGGCGAGAACTCACGCTGAAACTTAGCATTCGCGCCTCTCGCCTCCATCGAAAATGGCGGCCATCGCGGCCGGGATTTAATCCCGTGACTTTCGGGTCAGTATAATCAAGTAACATAGCCACGAGATCACCGTGACTGGTGCGCTGGAGAATAATTTACCTTAGTGTAGATGTCCACGCAAAATCCCAGATATTGCCAGAAGGTAAGGTGTGGAACGCCTTTTCCGTTCCAGAAGGTGTACTTCCGTCGGACCCACCTGAAAGGGAAATCACACTCTGAGCGGTAAGTACGTTTCCTGAAGCCATCAAGACAATTTGTTATTGAAGTGCACGTTCCATAGTAAACTTTAGCGCTGTTAGTAGATTGCAAAACATTTTTAATGAGATGTACAATACGTTCGACCATCTTCTCTGTCTTGTATTTGAACGTCAAGAGTACGAAACGCCGACTCACTTAATGAAAGCAAAAATCACGCCACAAAAATACTACGCACCAGGCGTTATATTATAAGACAAGTCTTCATCCGGATAAAGAAATCAAAGATCAATGAGCATCGAATCTTCCTCAACATCTTCGAACGTGTATAGAATAAACCAGTTATTTTGCCACGCCTCTTCATGTTTTTCAATTACGAGGGGTTTTACAGCAAGAATTGCAGCACACGTACGTAGAAGAATAATGCTTTATTTTCAAAGAAATTATAAAAAAACACCTGCGAACACATTCGTATCCACAACCGGTATGGCTAGTTAAGGATCCCTTATACAAACAAGGCATGTTGTGGTTTAATTAGCGAATGCAGTCTTTACACAGAGAAGTCCATCACAAATGACATATCACGTATACGTTCACGTAAAAACCACAGAAACAATGTTACATGTGCACACGTTGCTACGAGAATAATTTGGCAACTATTATCTACCCAACAAAAAGAGTTTTCTGAGTGACTGGGTCATACTTAGCAGCAATATAATTAACGTAGGGCGCTGTGTACCCCTAATACTTAGCAGTAACTATTGGTTCTATTGCCGACTGATGCTCTACCATCACTGCAAATACCAATAGTGCTTTGATGTTGTTTAGGCCGATCATTTCTATTTTTAGGGGCGAAGCTCCTTATAGCGGCACCCGTTCGTCCCTCGTAGTCGTAGTAGTAAAGTGTAACCAGTCTTACATTTTGACCTCCAAGGTGGTGCCGCTTCTGTGCGTTGTTGAACAAGAAAAAAAATTCGCAGCGTGCGAGTTAGCTTAAAGCCGAATTCTCCGGTCTCTCATTCCCCCTTAGCAGCCATTGGCATGTACAATGAGCACTATCTGACAAGAAAGGGTTGCTACTTCATACTCGCTGGGCGTAACCTCCTTGGTTTTAGAAAAAATTAGCGAGCGTTGGGCCGCAGTGCCATGAATACAGTGAACTAGTATATACCATGAACTCAAGGTGGTTAAAGGTGGGAAGTAGACACGAAGCGCAAACCGTGAGAAAGTGTGCGTGTGCCACCCCTCGTTCAGTCCTTGGAATGTCCGCGGGATGGCGGTGCTTCTATGTGAGGAATATATGATAAAAAATACGATGTAGTGGTACTTTGAGTGCTGAATAGGTGTACGAATGGACACACAGACAGATACATGGACGGACGCACGGATGGCTGCACGGACGGATGGACGCATGTACGGACGCGGGAGCGGATGCATGGACGAACGCAGGGGCGGACGCTTAGATGGACTTGCGGACGCACGAACAGACGCACACACGGATGGGCGGATGAACGCACGGGCGGCCACACAGACGCACGCATGGACGGACGGAAGCGAGAACGAATGGACGGACGGATGCTTCGCCCCACTCTCCATCATTCACTCCGTAGATATGCTGCCATTTTTTTTGCTAATCACTCATATATAGCAGTCATTCTATTATTTTTTATTGTTTGCTGATTAAAGAAGCAAGTTAGCAGTCGTATAAGCTGCTTTGCTAAGTTTCAGAAGACCACAAGCCTGTCAACGCAAACCGCATGTGCGTCCGTATACAGTTGGCCACTCCCAGGAAATACACGTCACTTGTACTTAATAGCTCACAGTGGCTCACATTTAGCAGGAAATGTACGGACGTATTTTTGTGTTCACTTATTGGCATCGTTATCATACATTCTATGACTAACTGCTGACCCGCAGGTCGTGGGATCGAATCCCGGCTACGGCAGCTGCATTTCCGATGGAGGCGGAAATGTTGTAGGCCCGTGTGCTCAGATTTGGGTGCACGTTAAAGAACCCCAGATGGCCGAAATTTCCGGATTCCTCCACTACAGCGTCTCTCATATTCATGTGGTGGTTTTGGGACGTTAAACCCCACATATCAATCAATCAACATTCTATGACTAAAAGCATTTCAACCCTTAAGTAGCGTTTCTTGTGGATGAAAGGCGAAAGAAAGACGAGAGAACCGCTATCAACGACTAAAAGTTTATTTCCGCGGTCGGTCGTATTTATGCAACCACCCACTCCTCAAAAAAAAAAAAAAAAAAAAAAAACGTGCGCACAGTGTTATCACTCAGAACATATTGATATGCGTCTGAAAAGTGGCAATACCGCGTTACGTGTGGTTTGTTTGGGGTTTATACACAATTAAACTGGCATTACCGTTAGCGCTTAATTTCCTCGTCTTCCTTGTTATCTTGTGTTCACGTTTTGCTCGCTGCTCAGACAACCATTCGAATATGATTGACTAACAAGCCCATTTTGTCACCCTCGGGAAGTATGGTATTAACAGTTATATTAATGAAAATAATATTATGCGGGATGTAATGTGCTATAACCACGGTATGGTTAACTCTTGAGCGACTTCAAAAGCGTACACTGAAAATCATAAGCCAAGGTGAATCAGTAAGTAATATTTTCCAATCACAACGCATTCTCTCAGTTCCGATGTTGCGTGACTACAAAATTGCTGTTTCAGTAAATAACATAATTAATAGAAATTCACCTTTGCCTGCTGATCTTTTTTCAATTCCTAAACGCAATACGCGACATGCTTCGAATGGTAATTTCAATCTGCCCAAATGTTTTAATGTTTACGGAGAAAGACTGATACAGTTTAGTGGAACAAAAATATGGAACACGGTCCCCCTAGAGATTAAAACGGCACGTAATTTCAGCATGGCATGTAAATCATTTTTTCTGTGGAGTCAAGACATGTAAGCATGTGTGTGTGATTCGATTTTCATTGTATTTTTTTAATAAGTGCCTATGTATAGAAACTAGCTGCAAGCTAATAAGTATGCATATCTGCAAGAAAAAATGTATTACTGTGTTATCTGTATCACATGATTGTTTTTTTTATGTTGTTACCTCAGAGCTGACCTGTACACTTTTTTATGTTGCACATTGTATTGGACCGTCCACTAGCCACTTTAGGCTATCGGTCCAAATAATCCCTGTAATTGCATATATCTATTTATGAAAATAAAGCTTCATTGATTGATTGATTGATTGATTGAAAAGCACGCCGCAGCGGATGACTTCAGAAATTTTAACTATATGGCATTCTTTATTAACATGCACCGACACTACACAGTACACCCTGACCTTTAAATCGAAATTCGACCACTGCCGCTGTAGTCGAACCCAAGACCTCAGTGTCAGCACCCAAGCACTGTGACCGCTACACCACCACGACATGGAATAGGCAACTTTGCTAAGTAATAAACTGCTCGAATAATAACAAAGACGTTTGCCTGTGCGTGGACGACCGTAAACCGTGTATAGTAGTGACGCTATAGGTCAGCGGATGTGTATGTTGACGTCCTACATGTTAAGTAACGCATGTTATGTCTTCTTTCTGGCGCGTTGTAGATTCGCTCTGTTTCTGGAAGCTCTTCGAAGCGAACCGTCACCTTCCTTCGTCGTCTCTCCAAAGTAAGGCACGGGGCCACGTCTCCGTTAGTCCATGTCCGATGAACCAGGGCGCGACGTCGGCTCGGAAATGCTAGCGTCGTGTCTGAAAAAAAACGCTCGCATTCTGTGAAATAGCGAGCGACGCACGTTACAGAAATAGCGCGTAGTTTTTCGACGACTCTGTTTTTGCGTCTGACGATGCCATAGGGGCCGCGTCACTTCCAAACCGTGCGGCCTTGCACGCCCGCGTTTGATGCATGCGCGCAGCTGTTGCATCGGTTCCGTCTGCAGGAAAGGGAGAGGCGACTCGTTCGGGAAAAGATAGAAAAGAGCAGGTGATATCTGCATGCGGTGGAGTTTCTAAGCGCGTGGGCGTGGTTCTCTTAACGAGACCGCGGCGTACAGCGTGGGTGCCTGGAGTGCCTCTATCGCAACGTTATACAGCCATCGTTTCTCTGTGTGTCGGTCCCCTGTCTTACCCTCGCACATCGTTTGCGAAACAATGTTTTGTGTACGTTTCGAGTAGCACGGGCTTCGTGTATAAATAACTTGTAAAGGCTTTCAAATCATAAAAATATGTTACAAGAAAGCTTATTTTTGAGAGGCATCGCTCCAGACGTTTATGTTCAAGTTACTGTCATGAAAGCCTGAACGCTAATTCGGACGCTTACAAAGCAACAGCTACGTGAACCTGTTCGTGTTATTCTGAAAGTTCTTACTCTTTATCGTTGACATGCTATGACCATAACGTTTCTACCGAGCCTTTATTTATGTATTGTCGAATGGGTGTTATTTCCCGGCCCATGATGTGTATTGATGCAGCATTCTGCACTCTATGTACATCGTAGACGGTCACTGTGTCGAAGATTACGTCACAGGTAGGAAATGGGGGGCAGGTGATTGATCCGAAGAATTTTCTCTGACGAAGAAAGATGGCCCCCATTTTTTTTAGGACGCACCTGTTCATGCCTACAAAGTTAATGGCTTCTTTTTTTTTAGCGGCTAGTGTGCTCACGTTTATACGAGTCGTCAATCTCAAGACTAGCACGTTTTTGAATGCACATGTAGCGTTTTTAATCATAGGTGTTGCGTTGGCTAGGAAGCACAGGCACAGGTTACTCTATTTGGTTGTCAATTTCTTGTACCGCCTTTTGGAGACAGTCAAATGCCAAATTATAGAAAATATAACGGAGGCCGAATTTTAAACGCGTTCGCTTTGTGTGTTTTTTATATTAAAGTAGCTTTGGCTAACTATTTGGCCACATTCGAAAATGGCTGGGACGTTATCGTATAAACAAGTTGACCGAAAAAGCTTTGTGGGAGTACGGTTCTACTAGCAGAACTTAAAAGAGTTGCTCTGACAATAAAATAAAACGTTAGAAGATTTAGTACGTTTTATAAATAAACAACGTTAGAGTAATTGCGAAAATTGAAAAAAATAAACTGATACACCTTAACACAAAATATAACATGTTAACTCATAAGTAGTCACACGTCGTAGAATAAACCGAACAAAGCCTGACCAATGTGGCCGCACTCAAATAACAATTGAGTTGAGGAAATCTCAGAAGAAATGTATGTAACGCGAGGAATGTACTCACCAAAATAGAAGTGATGCCAGGAGCGCGAGCACGGCGGTGAAGACGTGCAGCATGGTCCACTCCATGCTGAGTTGTCACTCTCGTTCGTGAAAAAAAAAAAAGAAACTTAAACCACAACACGACTCCTATTCTAAAACTTCGTGACAGGAGCGAGAATAGGCGCACACTTCTTCGTCATTGAGGTTAGAAGACCTACTCACTTCTCGAAGAGCAACGCTAGCGCGTCAGGTGAGCCGCACCTATCTCGCGCGGGGAGTGTCAATGGAACCGATGAGGCTCTGCCTGCTACGGAGTACTACAGACGGCGTTGGCGTCTGCTACGTTTCAGCTCGGGGCAGCCGCTGCCGCACCCCGATGGGCCCCCCAAACTTCGCTTTCCTCGGCGGGCGAAGCTGCGTGATTGCGAAACGCAGCCTCGGTTGAGAGGAGGCGCGCGCGAGAAGAGACGACCGGTCGGCACCGACTGCGAAAAGCGCGACGTTGGGAGGATTTGGAAAGGGCAGATGGTAAGTGAAGCAGAGAAAGAAAACGAAGCCAGTTTGGGTGGGCATCTGTCAAGTAGAAAGGCTACAAATGTGTCCCAGGTGGCTTGAAAAATTGTTGCAGTTTTCGGAATCGCTCAGATTATTCACTCTGTGACTCGTGTACAGTTTTCCACGTGAAAATAACTTTTACGAAGAATTCTTAGCCTGAAAAGGCGGTATTCATCTGGGCTTAAGGGTACAGGCACCAGCGTGGTGCCTGTACCCTGAAGTCCAGATGAATACCGTGCAACCTTTAAAGGGAGAGAGATAAAAAATGAAGGAAAGGCAGGTAAATCAGCCATAAGTATAACATCCTGTTTTCTACCGTGCATACTATGGGGAGAGGCAAAGCCAAAGAAATATAGAAAGAAAAACAGAGCGCGAAGCAACACTCTAAAAAAGTAAACCTTCAAACCAAGAAGTAAGCCTGAAAGCAGAGAAGAAAAAAAAAAAGAACTCAGATTTGGCACTTCATGCGTGCCTTTAAAACGGCGATATCAGTATATCGCTTACCTACAAAACAGCACCTTCAGGGATAATATTCAGAACCAAAGTGAAGCTAGGCAAGCGCCAAAATCCCGTTTGTCTTTCGAAACCTTTCGTGCTATTCACAGCTCGGCATTTGTGTCTTTACGGTGCGTTACACAGTCTCTTCATAAAGAAACCACAGACTTACCACGATATTTGAGAAGGAAAGCAGTTGTTGCCTTGTTAAAGTAGGTGTGTAGCAGAATTAAGGAACGTGATGTCACAATACCTGCCACAGAATGGTAAGGACTGATTAAAAAAATTCGTTTGAAGGTGGCCACCTATATTAACCAACCGCCTTAAATTGACATGTCCCCACCAATAGCTGTATTGTGACTGTGACGAGTGCGTGTCTGCGAGTGTTCTCGGCCTATCACAATTTCCACCTCTTTTTCTTCCCCTCTATTTTTGAACTCCGCCTCACTTTCCTTAGTGCTCGGTCCTGTTCTTTCATTACTTCTAGAATTCAGGTAGTATGGGATTCATTCGTGCAAATAATTGTAACTTGTAAGCCCTTTCTAAAATATGGGCCCTGCATTGCGTCATTTTGAGCCCACACCAATGGCCAACAGGCTCGCAATCATGCAAAAGTACATGTATATAGGGGTGCAAGCATCCTAATTGGTTGCTATTTCCGAGCTGCACAGGCGGTACCAAATGACGTACGGCGTGACACAGTCTATCTTTATCAGTAATAGAGACCTTTATCTCTGTAGGCTGATGGGTCAAAAACCTTCAGTTTATTCTGCAAGAAAATTAACATTCCGACACACTAAATATAAATGCATGCTGGATGCCATTGACCATTACCGAGACCTACCCTGGGCTATAAATTGAGAGCCGTAGCACTTGCATTATATGATATCAATGACACCGATATCAGGTGCCTGAGTATTAGCCAATGCTCGGGAATATATATCTGCGCGCAGTTTTGCAGATACGTCTGTCCATGTCTGGCCTACATGGTGTGAATCACCTTGTAACTTGTATAATTATTATTCATTACAACTGCTACGTTGCTTCTCTTACCAAAACGTGAAATAAAATCTACAAGCTGCCATTGCCAAAAGTAATAAACTCTGGCGTCTAAATAAAAGACCACTCAGACGAGAGGCACGCTACTCTCGAGGGGCATGATCCCGGTGTCTCAATTTTCAAGCAAAGCGCTCTTCCTGCAGCTAAAGCAGTGTTGCAAGCAAAACGTGACTCCGTTATTGCTTTTTTTTTCTTTTATGTGACTGCTGCCTATGACACTTCGTTGGGTACAATAAATGCAGTGATTAAAAGGGGGCTGAGTTATGTGATCAGCAGAACAGTGGGTACGGTAACACGTGTAAGACAGTGGTATTCTGGAACAACATGTAATGCCGACACAGATAATTCTACCAGGAAAATTCTGATCTGGCGAGAATTTACTCCAAGACATTCTTGGCCTTTCTTGGGAATTATCGATAAAGTAAACGACAAGGAAAAAAGAATTCAATTCCGAAATTCTCACTTCTTCAAGCTGACTTTAAGACGTCAGTTTGTACAGGTTTGCATATAGTGTAGTTCGGGGAGAAATGAGGAATCATAAAGAAATTAATACTAAGGCTCTTTCCTTTCTATTGAAAAAAATAATACTAAGGTTCTTTCCTTCAACATCACAAAACAATTAAACAGGAGACATCTTACTTTCAACCTCCAACCTGTGCCACTGGCAGCTATAGCATCTGAAAGCGTTTAAGTTACGTAGCATTGCTAAATGATGACTGGAAGCATTGTCATAGTACTCCATGTTGTTATGAATTTGCTCTGTCGCGATGGTAGCGGTGGCGAAGAGCGGCGTGCCGTCGAGCGGACTTCGATGAAGCCTTAGCCCGAAGGTGAAACAGGGAGGCAATCCGTTTGGAAAACAGCAACAAAAGGAGCGTTTACTGTAGCAGGTTGTCGTTTTACAGAGCCGGCCAGCACGATAACGTCGGCTGGGGCAAAATTTCTTAACATGGGGCCGGCTCGGCCTTAAATAGCGTCTTTGGTCCATTCTCTCAGACCAGTTCTCGGGCTCGGAGGGGGAGACGTAGCCATACCCGGAACTGCAAAGTGGTTCGGCGGAGGAAACGACGTTATCCCCGGACTGCACGGTTCTCCTGCACAGAAGGCGGCGCTGGGAGGGGAGGGGGGGGGGGAGACAGTTCGTCGAAACAGGGCTCGATCTTGTGAGGCGTGCTCTCGAACGAGGAACATGTCTGTGGCACAACAGTGCCCACAGGAGGAAGGGTAGGAAGCAACAAAAAGGGAGAAGGCAGGGAGGTTAACCAGAAAGACATCCAGTTGGCTACCCTACACTGGGGGATAAAGGAAGGGGACAAGAAAGAAGAGAAAGAGGGAAGAGAGGGAAAAAGAGGGTGGGGGAGAGACTGACAGTAATTTCACTGCAGCGTGTAGAACTCTACCGCATGTCAGAGGCGTTCACACAAGCCTGTCTTTCTCAGGAAACGCAGCAGGGCTTTCACTGCCTTGTGGGCTGTCGAGGCATGTGTACGTTGCTGTAATAGCACCTGCACAGAAAGAGGCCGATCATCCAGTCGCCGCATTGCGTTGGCAAGTACTTGTCTCTCTGAGGCAAATCGAGGACAATGACACAGCAGGTGTTCGATATTTTCGTCGGTGCCGCAAACATCGCACGCCGCACTGTCAGTAATTCTGATTAACGTGGTATAAGCTTTCGTGAAAGCAACTCCCAGCCAAAGGCGATAGAGAAGCGAAGCTTCACGTCGATGTAGGCCGGGTGGAGGCCGGAGTTGTAGTGAAGGGTCGAGCTCGTGCAGTCGTGTACGTCGTATGCTTGGTGTGTTCCACTCAGTCAGTGTGAGACTGCGGGCCAGTTGACGAATCTGCCTCGCCGCATCCGCTCTTGAAAGCGGTATCGGAACGCTGTTCGCTTCTTTATGTGACGTGCGAGCAGCATGATCTGCAGAATCATTGCCGCCTATACCACTATGCCCAGGTAACCACTGAAAGACGATGTCATGGCCTTTTTGTATTAACAGGTGGTGAAGTTTCACGGTTTGGTAGGTCAACTGGTCGTGGCATCCGCGTCGGAGAACTGATATCAGGCACTGTAACGCTGGTTTTGAGTCAGAAAACACAGCCCATTTACCTGGTCTTTCTTCTGAATTGATGTGTTCCAGTGCATTGCGCAGAGCCTCGAGTTCTGCCGTAGTCGAACTTGTCACATGTGAAGTCTTAAAACACCGAGTTATCCCTTGTGATGGTATAACCACTGCTCCACCTGAACTAGACGGCGTAGTAGAGCCATCCGTGTAAATGTGCACGTGGTTACTGTAGTTTTCTTCCAGTAGGGATAGACTCAGTTGTTTCAGGGCATGTGTCGGTAAGTCCGATTTTCTCATGTCCACAGACCGCTAAGTAAAGTGTTAGTTTTTATGGAGCATTGTACAGACATGCTCTGCCAAAGAAGAATACGGGGAGGTGGTTGTTCACCACTCTATTCCAGTGTCTTCCCCGGAATAGCATTAATTAACGGTGCACATACGCTGCTGATAAGAAGGAAGGGGGCTGGGCGCATTAGTATAGCAGGCTGCTAAAGTTCGAGGTAAAACGTATGAGTAGAAAGAGAATCATAATCAAAGCAGTTATGTGGCACAGAAATAGGCTAAATCAGTATATTCACCTGTCCAATAAAAATAAAAAGACGAACAGCTAGTCTACACCCCCCCCCCCCCAAAAAAAAGAAAGGACAAAAATGGCAGCGAAGTGACGGTGGTGAGCTGAATACCTCGCGTACTTACAGCGAGAAAATATTAGAAAACAAGAAATGCAACAATGACATCGAGAGATGCCTAAGTGACAGAAGATCAATAAGAGATTCGAACACTTAGTTTCAGCGCGAGTTTCTGTCTCTGGAGTTTGGACATTCGTGTCACTGTCCTGTCGCTGTCTTTCGTTCAACTCAAGCGTCTTTGTTCTGAGAATCAGCCTGTAAACAACCTATCATTCTGTGGCTAAAAGTCTGTCAACAACCTCGAAGCAACCTAGGAGCAACCTAGCAACACCTAACTAAACCCAGCAGCTTATAAGTGACCACATTAGGCATCATAATCGTCCAGATTCGCAGTTTGAGGCCTTGTGAGACTTTTGAAGCTTTGCCATTTCGTAAGTGGGGCTGCAAGAACCTTGCAGTTGTGAGAAAGTACTCGTAAGTGTGAAGTGGAGCACCCACACGCACGCACAAACACAGCGATAGCGATAGAGCATGCGCTGCAGACTCGTTCTGATAGGCCAGTGGAGCGCATAAAAAAGTTATTGCCCCTGTGCAAGCACTATTGGCG